GTTCACGAAGGTCATCCTCGGACACCTCGTAGCTACCCTTGACCGCCTCCACGTCAATGAAATCGTCGCAAGAAATAAGGCTAGCCAGCTCCATCTCCCCGTCGATGAGCTTGCGCAGGCTGATGCTCGCGAGGCCTCTGGACTCCGTCGCTGGTGGTCCTTTGTGCTGGCTCTGGAGCTCCACCAAGGCGGCTGCCACCTCGCCATCGGCGGCCTGCAGCTCGTCGGCCAGGGTCCCCACCGTGGCCGCCAGTTCGTCAGCAGCTCGACGCCAGCGCTGCAGCTTCTCGAACTCGACCTTGAGGCGCTTCTCCAGCTTCTCCTGCTTCTGCTCCGCAGCCACGAGCCGCTGCCTCCCCGACGGCTTCGGGGGTGGAGCCGCCCTCTGCGCCAGGGCTCCATATCGCGCGGCCCCCGCAGCGTCCCCAGCTTCCCGAGCCAAACGCTGTAGTTCGAGGGCCTTGGCCTGAGGAATCTCGGGAACGGGTCCAGGAGGGAGAGCAGAGGAGAGGTTGCCAGAGCCTTTGCCACCGAGAGGATCACCCTTGCCGCCTTTGTATCCTTTCTTGCCCTTGCTCGCTCCCTTCCCCGACTCGTCCGACGACTTGGGGCCACCAGAGTCTTCCAGAGGTTGGGGACGTGTACCGAGCTTTTGGCCACAATGCTTGCAGCACATCGATCCTTTAGAGTTCTTACGGCAACCGCAGTGGTGGCAGAGAATTTCACCTTTGGGACCCGCCACCGTCTTCCATACTTCCTCTTGCTTGGCTCGCTGGCCGTCCCAGGACTCCCACTTGGCTGCCGATGAAGCCCCGCCCTCAGGTATGGTGCCCCCCCAGCGACGGGGCCTGGAGGACTGAACCCACGGGCGGCGCTCCCACTCGCCAGAGCCTGCAGGAGCCATGGCGCGAGAAAGAGGAACGGGATGTTGGAGGCTCGCGAACCCCTCGACCGAGGGACCTCCTGAAAGGTTGAAAGCTGCCGCGGACTAGCGGTATCCGTTTTTGCCAATGCGGGCTCAGCCCGCCAAAGCATGGGTCTTGAGCCAAAATGGCTACGGAGGAGGGGGAGGAGGAGGAGGCAAGGAGGAGGAGGAGGAGGGGGAGGTGGTAGTAGGACGTGAAAAGAGGAAGGAAGCGGAGGAGGAGAGGCGGAGGAAGTGGAGGAGGAGGACGAGGAGGACGACGAGGAGGAAAATCAGGACCAGCAGCAGGAGGCGGAGCTGGCAACTGGATAAAGCACATCGGGAGCCCACTTAGCAAAACAGGAGCCCACTTAGCAGGAGCGCGACTTAAAAGTAGTCCAAACAAAATAGTCTGGGGACGATTTTTTGGGTATGTTTGCATCTTTTTGGGGTATCTGCTAATTTTCGTCCACGACCCCCTTGTAGGGGACACGACCGACCTAATGCTACCATCAGGAGAGCTGAATCAGGAACGCCGGGCTTCCAGGCACCCCGTAGTGAGGTTGCCGAGTCGTGTTCGGAGGGGGTGGGCAGGCGACCTCTGCAGCGCTCGTGCCATCACGAAGGGCTCGACGCAGAAATAAACACTCGGCGTCTGCCGCTTCGTTGCCGAGCAGCGGTCTGCAGTGGAACACGGCGCTGCGCCCCCGTTCCCGCAGTCGGAACAGCTCGCTGAGGCGTCTCTCTCTCTCTCGCTCTCTCGCGCTCTCTCTCTCTCTCTTTCTCTCTCTCTTTCATGTCATCGGGGCCAGGAACATGTGCACTATATTAGATGATGCTTGCCCACCACTTAGTGGCAAACTGCGGCCCACACGCAGAGCATGGATTCTGGTCCACACCTGTTGCTCAGAGCGCCGGCCAGAGAAAATTCTGCACTGAAGGATGTCCCGTGGCGTTTCTGCGGCCCCCCACGGGACAGGGCCCAGCTACCTTCGTGTACACTTGGGCCGAACGAAAGGGGGGGAGAGGGAAAGGGGGGGTACGAAATCTGCTGCATGCAGCTGGTTTCGGCCCCGCCGCCGAGCCCAGTCCTCGATATCATGGGCGCCTCCCGGCGCCGGGAGACCCCTGGAAAATCAGCTACGTGAGCTGATTCTCTACCCCGCCCTTTTTGCTATCCCCCCCCTGTCGTTCCCCCGATTTTCTACCCAGCCCTGTTTGCTATCCCCCCCTTCTGTTCCCCCCGATTCTCTACCCCGGCCTCTTTGCTATCCCCCCCTGTTTTCCCCCCGATTCTCTACCCCGCCCTTTTTGCTATCCCCCCCCTGTCGTTCCCCCCGATTCTCTACCCCGCCCTTTTTGCTATCCCCCCCCTGTCGTTCCCCCCGATTCTCTACCCCGCCCTTTTTGCTGCCCCCCCCCTGTCGTTTCCCCCGATTCTCTACCCTGCCTTTTTTTTAGGGGGCCACGTGCGAACCCTACCCCTACAGATTTCTGAGGGGGAGGGTGGAGTTCACTTCCTTCGGGAGCTCCCGAGCGAAGTGAACCCCACCCTCCCCCTCGGACATCGTGGGGGGTAGGCGTAGGGCTCGCACGTGGCCCCCCCTTTCTGCTATCCCCCCCCCGTCGATCCCCCCGCGGATGGCAGCTGGGGGTCGGGCGCACGGGCCGCGAGCGGAGGGCCGGGCGCGCTGGTCGGCGTGCGAGCTGTGGAGGGTGCACCGCTCGGGGTGGCGCGGGCCTGTCCCTCCACTTATCGGAGGGCACCAACTATACACCTACACCGATCCAGCCCAGGCCGATCCTAGGCCCAGGATCGGTGTATATGCATTCTGCCCATGGCAGGAGGGCGTATACACCGATCCTGGGCCCAGGTTGATCCTGGCCGGGATCGGTGTTGGTTTATAGTTGGTGCCTCCCTAACTTATGATACTCCAACCTACTTTAGCCTTGACCACCAGACAGAACTTCGAGCGCCCAAAAAAGTGCCGACGCTCAAAGGTTTTCACGTGCCGGGCCCTGGGAGACGCTCGCCCGACACTGTTTCGACACTCTTTTGACACTTTTCTCGGTGCTCGAAATTATTTCTGGGATGCGGTCCTTAAGTAGGATGAGAACAACATAACCCTCCACAGGAGGAGTGTTCAAAAGTTGTAAGAAGAGAGTCAGGGGACAATTGGTGGTCTATGTTTGGATATGTCTGCATGTTTTTCGAGTGTGCCTTCTTTGTCGTCCAAAATCCCCCCCCAGGGGGACAGGCCCGACCTAACGCTAGGGGCGGTGGACGTTTGGGGGGACGGGCTCAGTCAAACAGTGGCGAAGCGACCTGGCTCGCCTATGGGCCCACCAAAGAGTGTTCTGACAGCGTTATGTGGTCTGCACGACAGGCTCTCAGAACATTCCTTGCTGAGGCTGTAATAAGAAACATTGTTTTGTTATTCGAACATGTTTGGGTTCTAAGAACATCGCGTGGTAGGCCTATAGGAAGGCCGGTACGGTCGGTCCGTGCTCAGCTCAGGGAGAAACACGTCTCGGGCTTTCGAGGTTGGAGGTTTTCGGACTTTTCGTGGGTTCTCGAAGGTGTCCCGCCCCGGGATACCTTCCAGCGGGTGCGCCTCGGCGAGGGCGTTCCAGGGGTACCCAGAGGTCGTCCCGAACGACCTCTGGAGAGCGGAGCTAGGGCCCGAAAACCACCAGAGGCAACGTTAGGGTGTCGACGATTTGTCGGCGATGTATCGCCGATTCCAGCTCGATGTTTCCCTCCCTCCCCCTCTGAGTTGGTCCCTCCCTGATGTTCCCCCGCGTGCCGAGAAAGCCCCCAGTTGGGCAATCTCCGACGGGGCTTGGACGAGGATGAAATCCGTTCCAGAGCGTTCCAGGATCGCTCTCAGAGCGTTCTGGGACGCTCTGAGAAGGTCGCGGCGCCCGATGCATCTTCCAGAGCCGCTGGATCTCAGATATTCTCGAGTCAGAGTATGATTGGGTCGGCCTGAGGAGGAGGAGGGTGTGAGGTATGAGGCCCCGAGGCGTCTGAGTAATACCAAGAACCTTATCTGAGGATATGGGGAACATTAATGCTTATGGTGTTCCAAATGATGATCGTGATCATGATCGTGGCCATGATTAAGATGCCGATCATGGTAGGGATTTTGATGCCGACGATGATGATGATGATGATGATGATGATGATGATGATGATGATGATGATGATGATGATGATGATGATACTGATACTGATACTGATACTGGTACTGGTACTGGTACTGGTACTGGTGATGGTGATGATGCTAATGATGATGCTGATGTTGGTGATGATGATGATGATGACAAAGACAATGACGATGATGATGCTGCTGATGATGGTGATGATGATATCGTGGTGGCGATGACGATGGTAATGTCGGCGATGACGACGACGATGATGATGATGATGATGATGATGATGATGAGGATGATGATGAGGATGATGATGAGGAGGATGTTGATGCTGATGCTGATGCTGATTTTTTTTTATGAGGATGAGTATTGCGATTATGGTGATGATGGCGATGGCGATGGCGATGGCGGTTGTGATGATGATGGACATGTTGATGATGGTGATGATGATGATTTGGAGAGGGAGGAGGATGTGAATGAGGACTCTGATAGTGCTGTGGTGCTGTTGGTGGTGATTATTGTAGTGGTGGTGGTGGTGTTGATGATGATGCTTCTCCTGCTGCTGATGATGATGGTGATGGTGATGGTGATGGTGATGATGATGACGATGATGATGATGATGATGATGATGATGATGATGATGACGACGATGACGATGACGCTGATGATGATGATAATCATACTGCTGATGATGATGATGATGCTGATTGTGGTGGTGGTGGTGATGGTGGTGGTGATGGATTTTTTTGTGATGAGGATGAGGATGAGGATGAGGATGAGGATGAGGATGATGCTGAGAATGAGGACATGGAGGCTGAAGGTGGGAGAAGGAGAAGGAGAAGGAGGAGGAGGCGGAGGAGGAAGCGGAGGAGGAGGAGCAGGAGCCGGATGGGATAGAAGGGAGGATGGAGAAGACAGGGGGGCGGGCGCGCGTCGGCAGTCGGCGTATCTGGAGTTCGAGAACGCCATCCGTGCCTCCGTCGCGCTGGTCGGGGGCTTCGGCGTCGGCAAGGAGGACGTCACCGTGGCGCACGGCCAGAGCCCAAATGGAACTGCCAGCGGGGGGAGGTTCGGGGGGGGAGCGTGGGAAGAGGGGGCCAGGTGGGGAGGGGGCATAGGGCAGGGGGGGTGCGGCGATGGGGAAGGGGGAAGGGGTGGGGGGGGAATGGGGGGAAGGGGGGAAGGGGGAAGGGGGGGGGAAGGGAAGGCGAGGGGAGGGGAAGGGGAATGGGGGGAAGGGAAGGCGAGGGGGAGGGGAAGGGGGGAAGGGGGTAGGGGAAAGGGGGGAAGGGGCAGAGGGAAGGGGCGGTGGCTTCGGGGGGGGGGAGGGGCGCCTGGGGACCGGGAGGGCAGGCGGCAAGGAGAGAGCAAGCGCCGAGGGAGAGGGCGAGCGCGAGCGGGAGGGGCAAAGGGTGAGGGGGGAGAGGGCAGGGGGGCGGTGCAGGGGGCGGGACTGGAGGAAGAGAATGAGCACGGATGGGGGTGGCGGAGGTGGCAGGGGAGGAGGGGAAGCGGGAGGGAAGGCAGGTGTTGTTCGAAGCGCTCTGCTTGCAAGGCGGAGGAGGAGGACCGACAAGGAGGAGAGTGACGTATTCAGGAGGCAGGCCGGAGCAGGACGAGGGAGGGGAGGATGAGCCACAGACGCCACGATGCTTGACAGCCTGAGCCCGAGCAGCGCAGCGCAAGAGGAGGGCGAGCCTGGGGAGGACCAGAGCAAGCCCACCACACAAGCACGGATGCCCCTCATCCGCGCCGTTAGTCTTCCGAAGGGTTCTGTGGAGGTGCGCCCGCCAGAGTCATATGCATGAGATCTGGTGATGCGGACATCACCGCGGGCTTCTTCATTCCTTCTCTGTGATGAAGAGGGCGCTTGTCATCCGCGCTCTGCTGCATCGCAGGGCCCATCTCGATGCGATCGCCGAGTTCACATGGCTCGATCTGATTCGATCTCGGTCCCTTGGCGATCCGATGCGCCCCGATGTGTGCACAGCGCAGTTGTGCATCTTGCAGCAGCTGGTCAGAGTCGATTCCGATTCCGTGCCGATGCGGCGTTCAATTCGATTCGATCTGATCTCTTGCTTCGAAGCTGACCGATCTTGCCCCGCTGCTCCTACCTCGTGGCCGCGCGCAGGCAGGTCTCGCGCGGGGCCGCGCCAGAGTGGCCCCGCGGGAGCTCGCCGCGGTGATTTGCGGCCTGTGGGGGTCTCTCGGAGCGGCTTGGCTCGAGCAATCTGGCGCGAGACCGCTGCTCCTACAGGTGAGCCAGGGCGCTCTGCTCGGGCGCACGGTAACAGGGGGGGCAACAGCCGCAGGGAGATCGAGCAGTGCATGGAAGTGGCCCCACAGAGGGGCCCCTGAACGGCCGCCCCTGAGCTGGCCCCCCCCGGGCCCACCGGGGGGCACGCAAGGCGCACGAGTCCTCGCTCAGCTCCTCGGTGGCCCCCCCCCCGTGGGTGAACACCCGCTCTGTTTGACAAGAGCCGGTGCTCTCGCAGGCCCAGAGGGTGACACCAACACCAAACTGGAGTCGGAGCCAGAGGTCGGTGTCTTGTCCTGTGGGCTCCTGGACGCGCGCGCTGCGATAGCTGAGGTGACATCCTTCGTTGTCCGTGACAAAGACCATATCCTGGCTAGTTGCTGCAACCGCGGCAACGAGGGCGGGGAGTTCGCCGCGCGCCACGGTCTCCCTACTGCCAAGCAACGGCCCCCAGAACGCCGCCTGAATGTGCGTGCTATTGTCCAGTGAGCTGTAGAAAAAGGCAGCTACTCCGACCCTGCGCAGATGTGGGTCGTTGGCCCCCTGCCCTCCACTGGCGTCGCCGCTGGAAGCATAAGTTGGCTGTCCCTGTAGATGCCGTGGGCAGGCGATTTGGCACCCTTAGAACCCAAAAGTTCGAGAGGCAGGTTCCATGACTTGCGCCCGCTCGCTCGGCATGGTCTTTCGCGCTCAGAAGCGTTTGAACATGTGTCGTTGCGCCATGGCCTCAGGAAGGAGGTGGCTAGTGCCCTGGATGATGGGATTGTCGCGCTTGTGGCTGCATCCCCAGGCTCAGTGAGAGCCACCCTCGTCCTCGGTGCCACATGTCGAGCAGACGGCGTCGACTTCAGGTCTCTTGGTCTCGCGCGCGTTGCGCTTCCTGGCCCACGTGGCGCCCGTGCCGATGGTGAGCATGGGATTGGACAGGCGAGCCCGTTGTGGCATCTTCTCCGAGTATCGCAGCAACTTGCGGTGGGAGCGGTTGTCGGCCCCATGCTGGAGACCCTCGCCGCCGTGGCGTTGGTCGGCTGTCGCCAGAGCTGGAGTTGGATGTTGGAATCGATGTCGTCGAGCAGCTGGCGTGGGATGTCGGCATCTGGATGCCCCGATAGCGCAGCGGCGTCGAACTCCCAAGCGTCGTTTGTGTTGTTGCTGTCACTGGGCAGCCTCCATAATTGGGCTGCGCAGGGTCCCGCCCCATCTGCATCAGGTGGTGGATGATGGTGGATTGTGGGCCTCACATGCGTCGAACTCGTTGCGCTGGTGGGATAGCCTGGAAGTGCTTGGCGATCTTTGCACAGGTGAGGGCGACCGCGTGCTGAAGTTGGAAGCTGGCTATCCACGCGGTGAGCCAGGCATGGAAGGCGCGGGAGCTTTCCGGCGGGGCCCCTTTTCGCTAGCTCGGTGGTCGAGTGTTGTCGAACGTCGTCCTCGTAGCCATGGGGCTACTGCATCACCGAGTCGCCGTCGGCAGGTGGCTATGGTGGTGCCGAACGTGCCGTAGAGCTGGCGGGCGCAGGTGGCAGCAGCAATCCCGCCCTGAACGACCAGCCCAGCGGCGAGGTGGTATCGCGTGGCGACGCGGGCGATGCGGACGATCCTGGCAGGCATGTCTTTGTGGCGCTGACGTCGCTGCTGGGTGGCCGTCGCCCTGGAGTGCGCGGCCTAGGGCCGTGGCTGGACGAGGTGCCCCTTGTGCCGCATGGTATTGGCGAGGTGTTTGGCGTCTAGGGTGCGCGCGCACTATGTCGCTTGTCTTGCCGATAATGCGGCCTCGGTTCTGGGGCGCGTTGCAGGCGTCGGTGTGCACGGCGGCCATGTTGCGTCGGAGTGCTTGTCGGCTAGCCTGCGTGCACTGCGACAGGTCGTCGACCCTGATGCGGCGTCGGGCGGCAGGGTGGCGCGTGGCGATGTGCCGCGGGGCCTTGAAGGTCATGATCTCGGCGAAACGCGCGCCTGACCGTATCCCTTGCACAGCGTGTCTGGTTGGTTGCATGGCCTTTGCACGCGCGCCGCTCTGCGCGAGCGCGCGCGGGGCCATGCACTGTAAGACCTCGAGGCCCAAGATCTCGGGTGGGAAGTTGAGCTCGAGGGCTTCGTCGATGGAGTTGTAGCATTGGGAGATGTCAAGGAGGCCGTGCGGCTTCGGAATGCCGAGTCGCGCCGCTACCTCCTTGTGCAGGCTTCGCTTGTAGGCCTCCCGAAAGGCGGAGTTGCCCTTGGCGATTGCGCCCCAGTGGGCGAGGTATTCCTTGTTCCACGCTTGGACATGGGGCTCCCTGAGCATGGGCCAGAGCGTGGCGATGATGGTCACGAGGCCGAGGATCCTGTGACCGTTGTCTTTCTCGGCGCGCATAACGGCGAGGGCGTGCAGGAGTTGGCGCGGCCACATCTGCGCCTGCTCGGTCGCGTGGTAGATCTCGGCGTTCCCGGCGAGGGCTGGTTCAGGAGGTCGGAGTAGATCTGCGGTCGCAACCAATCGGCCCCGAGCGCCGTGTTGGCTTTGGGGCGCTCGAGGCCTTGTCTGACCTCGGTGCCGGTGATGGGCGACGGGCTGCATTTGCGGACGCGGTCGTCGATGCGCTGGAAGGCCACGTGCAAACCGATATGGTTGGCCTCGTTCGGCGCCCAGAGCTGTCGCCAAGCCGCTACTCTCCCGTCGATGATGCCCATGAGGTGCATGACGGAGCTGCTGCCATCCTGCATCACCTCGGCTGGTTGTGGCTGCGGTCGCTGTGAACGGTTGAGTGCCCGGGGCGTCGTCGGCGACCGCCCAGTCGCGGAAGTCGTGAATCGCCTTCCGAAGGGCGCGTGGTTGGACCCGTCGTGCGAGTCTTGCACGACGGGTCCAACCACGCGCTTGGCTTCAAGCACTGTCGAGGTGGATGTTCTTGAAGTCAACCCACTGCTCCAGGCGCAAGTCGTCCTTCTCGTGGATCACGCGCGGTGCACGGGCTGGCGTGGATTCCGTAAGCTTGGCAGTTGCGCGTAGCTGCTGTTGGAGCTGTAGTTGGCCGTTGCCGCGTGCGCGGCGGCGATGGATGTTCCGCAGCAAAGAGTGGGGCGATGTCCACCAGGTACTGCTGTGATTCGCAAGCGGGGAGGCCCGCCGACACTGTAGCTCGCGCGCGACCTCACTGTCATACTGGGGGTCTGCTGCCCGAGAGGTCCCAGCGAGAGGGACCTGGTGGCGCGCGCGTGGAGGTCTCCACGGCTGCGACCCACGAACCGTAGAGTTGCCCAAGCTGAAGGGAAACGTCAGGCTTGGGCCGACATGCCGCGGAGGCAGTAGCAGTGGGGGGCAGGCCGAGACAGGTGAGAGGGCAGGACACACATTTGTTTCCTGTGGGCACTCCGGAGCTCACTGGCTATTTCGAATTCAGGGCTTCTACGGCTCTGAGGCTGGGCCCCGCGGTTGAAATCAGGTTCGCTTTTGGGGGGGGGGGGGCTGGGGGGGGTCGCGCTGGGCTGGCGAATCATAAGTAGCATAACTGTTCGACTGTCCGATTGCATCAGCGCGATCGCTGGCAGACTGGGTAGAGTGGGCGGGTTCGACTGCATCGAGTTGAACCTCAACATCCTTAGGCTGAAACGGGGCCTGCGCAACTGCATCGACTGATCAATGCAGAGAGAGGCGGGCGGTTGGATTGTGTCGAGCAGAACGCGTTCTCTCTGCGCAGGCAAAGACTGACAGGATGACGGGACCTGGTATTCCAAAGGTGAGAGTGATGAAGGGTATTATGATTCTTCGCGGGCGGCATTCAAAGCATGGGCAGGCTCGACTGGCCTCAA